AGTGACTTTTCGGGGTAGTGACTTTTCGGGGTAGTGACTTTTCGGGGTAGTGACTTTTCGGGGTAGTGACTTTTCGGGGTAGTGACTTTTCGGGGTAATGACTTTACCCCCTCAATTTTGATAACCCACCCTCTTTTTTGGATTCAAAAAGCCCCCCGAAATCTCAAAGATCCAAAAGAAGGAACTCTCATGGTGTCTGGGCCGGCTTTTTATGCGAATTTCTGATAGCGGCTCACCTTCTTGATGCCTTCTTCCGGGCATAAGCTTCAATTTTTGTTGGGTGCTTTGCAAGGGAGAGCGAGAGAGAGCGAGATAGGGAAAGAGATAGAGAGTGAGAGAGCGAGAGAAAGAGCACGAGCACGAGCAACGCAACCGCATACGTCCAAACGGTCTGGTATATCGCTAAAAAACTTGGGACTTCCTTCAGCCTCCGCTGAAGTCTCCAAAGCTGACATTTAAGCTGCAAAATTTGCGGAAGCTATCCGACTGTTACCATTTCCGATTCTCTAAATTTCGCGAATTCCGCCCTGCCCCAAATGCCAAAAAATCCTGTGACACAAGCCGATGCTCACGGGGAGAGCCAATCCGCCAAAGTGCCCATCCCCGACCCATTTGACAACCCAATTCCCAAAATTAGGCTAAAAATGCCAAATCGGTGGAATGGGGGGGGGGGGGGGTAGACAACACAGCAGTCTGTTGCCCATTCCCACCAAAAGCACCGCACCCGATTTCGTTGCCTATGTTTTTCCGTTGCGATCTTATGGGCAGACGCCGGAGGGGTACTTACCGTAATCTGGGTAAGCTTAAAAATAATGGTGTTCTCACGTAAAAAGTAGGAATCGCGAGGATCATGGCCGGGTTTTCTTCAGAGATCTTTGCTATCCTGCCCCCTTCCATTCCCAAATGATCTCTGCTAGCCTGTCCCTTCCATTCCCAAATGATCTCTGCTAGCCTGCCCCTTCCATTCCCAAATGATCTCTGCTAGCCTGTCCCTTCCATTCCCAAATGATCTCTGCTAGCCTGTCCCTTCCATTCCCAAATGATCTCTGCTAGCCTGCCCCTTCCATTCCCAAATGATCTCTGCTAGCCTGCCCCTTCCATTCCCAAATGATCTCTGCTAGCCTGTCCCTTCCATTCCCAAATGATCTCTGCTAGCCTGCCCCTTCCATTCCCAAATGATCTCTGCTAGCCTGCCCCTTCCATTCCCAAATGATCTCTGCTAGCCTGCCCCTTCCATTCCCAAATGATCTCTGCTAGCCTGCCCCTTCCATTCCCAAATGATCTCTGCTAGCCTGCCCCTTCCATTCCCAAATGATCTCTGCTAGCCTGCCCCTTCCATTCCCAAATGATCTCTGCTAGCCTGCCCCTTCCATTCCCAAATGATCTCTGCTAGCCTGCCCCTTCCATTCCCAAATGATCTCTGCTAGCCTGCCCCTTCCATTCCCAAATGTTCTCTGCTAGCCTGCCCCTTCCATTCCCAAATGATCTCTGCTAGCCTGCCCCTTCCATTCTCAAATGATCTCTGCTAGCCTGCCCCTTCCATTCCCAAATGATCTCTGCTAGCCTGCCCCTTCCATTCCCAAATGATCTCTGCTAGCCTACCCCTTCCATTCCCAAATGATCTCTGCTCGCTTGCCTTTTTCAGCTTTTTTGCACCCTAGCCAATCTTGACTTCTTTTATATTTTGGATTACGATAATGGAAATCCAAGGGAATAATCTGACTACAGTAGCCAGGCATCTCCCGAAGATGGCGATCTAGCAGAGATCCTTTAGGAAAATTGTGCTCATTTGTGAATTCACCGAGGTGTCTTTCCCGAATTCAAAGTTCCTCCTTTCTACATATTTCTCAATTTGACGTCGTACATTGTTATTGTTTATCGCCTTTTCTTTTCCCGGTGTCTACGGTAATCCCAATATGGCGGCTAATCCCGGCGAATTCGAAATGGGCCTGATGATTTGGGCGGGTCGTAGTATATAACCGTAAAATCTACACAAAATATCATAAAAACTATCCAGTTCTTCACGCACTAATAGAGTTTTTATGATTTCGGTGTTACTTGATTTTAAATTTTTTGTCGCTATCTTTTTGCAGTTCGTATTTCTCAGTTAAAAAGCTGAAAAATAAATCCCAAAATTGGCCTAGGCTGGTCTTGGCAAATTCTTGTCTGGATTTGTCCAGGGTTACCGTAATTTTTCTTTTTTTTTCTATGGGAAATAGAGCTTAGCTGAGGGCATGCTGATTGTCGGTGCACAAAAATAAGGTTAGAGACACGGGAAGTGCGCAATATTTTGCGCAATTCCAGGAGCTGACAATCCTCTTTTTAAAAATGCTATACCTTTAAAATCGCTTAAATCACTCTAGATATCTCAAAAAAGTTATGAAAGTGACAATAAAATGCTATTTTTTCATCGTTCTATTGAAGGTACTGTAGTAATCCGTATTGGTAATGTTTTTCGAAAGAATACTACTCTGTTCTCATATTTTTAGAGAAATCCGTCTAAATGCAACATCCGCTTTTCGAAATCGGTCTGCTCCCCGTGAATTCCCCAAAATTTCGGCCCCTAGACTCAAAATTCGATTCCCTTTGTTACCCTCGGAGTTCGAATTTCTGCTAAAATTTCTTGGAAAAGCCCAGTAGAATCCAAATTTTTACGGAATTCCAAGCTGGATGTTGACGGCTAATCTCATAAATATTTTTATCGAACAGAATTTTTTGGAGTCCTTTCCATCCTTCGAGGAGCTTCGGAACGTACGGCTGACTTGCTACTTCCGGTCTCTTACCCCTTTCGGGGTTATTTTAAACTTATATATAGACTCAAATTCCTGAAACTTGGTCAGCGAGAAAGGAAAAATCCGAAAAGCCATGTCTCGACGCCAAAAATCGCGATTTTATTGGCGTCGACCTGGGTCCCCAGGGGCCGAATAAACGTTCAGGGCCGACCTCGAGCTACCAAAAAACGTTTCAGATTCACAAGGTAGTAACGCAATAGGTTCGATCGCCGGAATCCGGCTAGCCAGCTGGGTTTTGAGCCGGAATTCCTTAATGGATACTGGGGGCCAGCCGTAGGAATCCCCTGCTGGTTGGCCCCTCCACCTGCGTCTTTGTCGCGTTTAATTTTGAGTTTCATGCCTTAACTTCCTAAAAATCTTTCTAAGTGAATGCTTGCCTTAAAAATCCCTGTTTTCGTACCTTCTAATCTTGCTTGCTGTCTTGCTTTCTTTGTTGATAAATGGTTGTCTTACTCAAATCCTTAGCCCTCTTACCTTAAATTCTTGAATACGTTGTTTTAACCCCACTTTCGGTTCAGGTACTCCCGGCATGCTCAATGCACTGGCAGTGAGCGCGGCGCTCTGCGTGATGGCGTTGGCCGGCGATACGGTAGTGTTTTCAGCTTGTAAAGTGTAAAATATAGAAATCAAGTATCTTCACGATCAATCCATCTGGGATAGGGAGAGAGAAAGAGAGAGAGAGAGAGAGAGAGAGAGAGAGAGAGAAAAGAGAGAAAGAGAGAGAATTACTTGTACTTAAATTTTCAGAGAGAACAGCCCATCGGCGAGATGGAATCCCAATGGAGAAGTATGCAGAAACGGGACCCCGGCCCGTCGTATGACATGTACGACCCGACCAGTCTGTTCAAGCGCAATACTGGGAACTGGGAGAAACGGTAAGATTTTAAAGCTTTTTCCACTTCTTCTTGCGTTCCAGTTATTACGCCCTCGACACCCTCGGCGGTATCGGCCTTGGCAAGCGGTCTGCTGCTGCACCAAAGTCGCTAAAGCTACGGTGGGAATTGCTTCCGTCGCTCTCTCTTCGCCTGACTCACTCTAGCTCTATTTCTCTCGCTCACTCCCTCTCTCTCTCACTCTCTCTTCGTCCCACTCGCTCTCTCTCTCTCTCTCTCTCTATTTCTCTCACTCCCTCCCTCTCTCACTCTCTCTCTCTCTCTCTCTCTCTCGCTTCCGGGCTAACGCGTCCATTTTCAGACTACGACCAGCCTACGATGGCGGCCGCTTCAAGAAGTCCGCCTACAACGCGTACTCGCTGGACAGCCTGGGAGGTTGGTAGGCTAAAATGTTACCGTTTTAAAGGGACCAGAAAGCCAAGCTTCGACCCCTAGGTCTAGATAATTACATGACATTCCAATCTGATTTTGTTGTGGTTTTTGAAACCCATTTCATGGCGATGAGAGAGGGGGGAGAGAGCGAGAAAGAGAGCGAGAGAGAGAGAGAGAGAGAGAGAGAGAGAGAGAGAGAGAAAGGGAGAGAGAGAGAGAGCGAGAGCGAGAGAGAGAAAGAGAGAGAGAGAGAGAGAGAGAGAGAGAGAGAGAGAGAGAGAGAGAGAGAGAGAGAGGGAGACAGGGAGAGAGCCATGGGCGAGAGAGCGAGTGGGAGTGAGATAGATAGAGAAAGAGCGTGAGAGAGAACGAGAGCGAGAGACTGAGAGAAAGAGTGTCAGAGAGGGCGCGAGAACTTTTTGAATGTACTTTTCAGGAATGGGTCTCGGCAAACGTGACTCGAGCCGCGGCGAACTGCAATACTTCGACAGCCTCGGCGGTATCGGGCTGGGCTAAGAACTCCTCCTAGATCGACGAAGCCCTTCATCAAGCCGAATAACCCAAAAAACTCTTCTAAAACGACGCAAAAAAATGCTATGCTATAACCGGGATACTGGACTACTGGCTGTACTACTTTTCTTACTGTCGCCTGTGTATAAAGTGTTTGAATGTTTTCCTAGCAGGTTTGCTGGTTGGATTCGCTAAAAATACTTCAAATTCTTGAAACGCAAAAACCAAAATTTTATTGCAAATTCTTGCTGCAGTACCGTCAGAAAATTTATCACAGCATTCAGAAAAAACAAGGCACCAAAAAGTACAGGGAAACCAGTCATAAAAACATACAAAATCTATTACAAAAAACAATAATTATCTAAGAATTTTAAGCTTTAAATATGCATAAAATGTACAATACTACAGTATCACAATCACCACAGCAAGCTCAAATAAATTTGTAAGGATTAAGGATCGATCTGGGGTCGAAGACGGCCTTGAGCGCCTTCACCAGCTCGCGCTCCCGGGGCGGCTTGCCGAAATTCGCATACGGACGTTTGAGTTGACCTGGAAAATATGATTATAGGGAGGCTAGCAGAGATCATTTGGGAATGGAAGGGGCAGGCTAGCAGAGATCATTTGGGAATGGAAGGGGCAGGCTAGCAGAGATCATTTGGGAATGGAAGGGGCAGGCTAGCAGAGATCATTTGGGAATGGAAGGGGCAGGCTAGCAGAGATCATTTGGGAATGGAAGGGGCAGGCTAGCAGAGATCATTTGGGAATGGAAGGGGCAGGCTAGCAGAGATCATTTGGGAATGGAAGGGGCAGGCTAGCAGAGATCATTTGGGAATGGAAGGGACAGGCTAGCAGAGAATCATTTGGGAATGGAAGGGGCAGGCTAGCAGAGATCATTTGGGAATGGAAGGGGCAGGCTAGCAGAGATCATTTGGGAATGGAAGGGGCAGGCTAGCAGAGATCATTTGGGAATGGAAGGGGCAGGCTAGCAGAGATCATTTGGGAATGGAAGGGGCAGGCTAGCAGAGATCATTTGGGAATGGAAGGGGCAGGCTAGCAGAGATCATTTGGGAATGGAAGGGGCAGGCTAGCAGAGATCATTTGGGAATGGAAGGGGCAGGCTAGCAGAGATCCTTTGGGAATGCGTGGGGCCGGCTAGCAGAGATCACTTAGGAATTGAGGACACATACCAATCCCATGCTCAGCCGAAATCGAGCCGCCGTGCTTCACCACCCACTCGTAGACGAAGGGGTAGAGGCTGGAGATGGACGTATAAGAGAGAGTGAGAGTAAGAGAGACAGAAAGAGGGAAGGACCTACACTTGATACAATTCCTCCGCTTTCTCCTTGGTCGACGTCAAATTCAGATGGCTATTCCCATCTCCCATATGCCCGTACGTCACCACCCGTTTTGCAACGTTGCCCACACGCTTTTGGACCTCTGAAAATCGTTTTTAGTTCTTTATTCCTCTTTCTCTCTCTCTCCCTATCTCTCGCTTTCTCTCTCTACCTTCAGTCAGTCGATAGAAATGATCAAGTGGCAGCGAGACATCATGCTTGAACACTTGGCCATCCATCGTCAAGGCAATGGTAGCCGATTCCCGGAGCCGCCACATTAGACGAGCTTCTTCGTGGGATTGGGCCTAGATTCAATCGGTTTAAGATAGCTAGGAATCCCTAGAATCGATCCCTCTTCCGATTAGGTCTAGACAGCTGCGCGAGGCGCAAGATGACACTTCGTACGCCCGTGTTGAGCTTCTTTAGGTAAATTAAAAGCTGATGCTATGGGTTCTCGCGTAGCTGTCTAGATCTAGTAGACTGATGGGGTTAATTTTCGGCTTCCTGGGCTCTTTAATCAGGAAGTCAGAAACCCACTTGTACTCCATCCATGGCTAGACCCTGGGAAAGACAGTGCTCCAGGAAGCTGTCCACCTTCTCGCGGTCGTGCGCTTCGTTGGAACCTAAAAATATTCAGAATTTTTCTCTCTCTTTCTCTCTCTCACTCTCTTTCGCGTTCTCTCTCTATCTCTCTCTCTCTCTCCCTCTCTCTACCTGAGGTCTCTATCAACAAATTGAACGGCGGATCCGATCGGAGCACATTCTCGAATTCGAGATTATCCTGAAAATAAGATACCGTACACGACCTACAGTAATCGCACCTTCAAAACCCCCATCGTCTCCCTGTCCATCATCTCAAAAGAAGACAGAATCTCGCCCAGCTTCTGCTTAGCGATGCGCAGAATTTTGCGGCAGTCATCGAACGTGTTGGCGCCTGAAAATGGCGGCAGGTTACGGTAGCTGGGTCAAAAAACAGGGCTTAAGGAGACTGAAGCTACTTCGTACCTATCATAGCGCTCTGCACGCTCAAAGGGCGGGTGACGCACGTCATCTTGACGCCGGTTATGACGCCGAGTTGGCCTTCTGACCTAAAAAACAATAGACAGCGTGAGAGAAAGCGGGAGAGAGAGAGAAAGAGAGAGAGAGAGAGAGAGAGAGAGAGAGAGCGCTGACCTACCCCAAAAACAAGTGGTGAGAATGAAGCGAAGTATTATCCTTCCGCAACCCACTGCCAAGCTCGAGAATTGAGCCCTTGGAATCGGGGCAAACCTAAAAAAAACATTCAAAATTCTAAGGATTATCAAAATTTGCATACCACTGTCAAGCCTAGCACATGAGCGTGTAGACTACCGTAGCGAAGCAGCCGGATACCACCGGCGCAAGTAGCCAGGTTACCCCCGATCAGGCAGGAACCCTGAAAAAAATAGGTCTCTCACTCTCTCTCTCCCGCTCTCTCTCTCCTCTCTCTCTCTCCTTATCTCTCTCTCTCCCTCCGACCTTGGCCCCCAGATCAAACGGCATCATGTAGTTCCACTTGGCCAGCTTGTTCTCCAGCTCCTCGAGAATGTGGCCGGCGTCACAGGAGAGGACACCTAAGGAAAACACCGGCTAACGTCAGGACACCAAAATCCCACTCTACCTGTATGATCATCAAATTCAAAGTGTTTGTCCATCTTCCTCACAGAGAGGACGACTTCATCGTGGACCGGGATACTGGCACCGACTAGACCAGTGTTTCCTGCCTGAAAACGGGGAATTCTGAACGGCGCAGCTTTTCCGTCCATTGATTTTGGACAACCCCTTTTAAAATGCTTGTAGTATCCTTCATATGGTTTTTCACTTGTTAACCCCGTTAAGCGTACCTGAGGAACAACAGCAATCCTCCGATCGTGACAATGGCGCAGAATGGCGGAGACTTCTTCGGAAGTAGAGGGTTGTAGAACACACTGGGAGGCTCCTAAATGATATATGCTAGTCTGCACCTTCCATTCCCAAATGACCTCTGCTAGCCTGCACCTTCCATTCCCAAATGATCTCTGCTAGCCTGCCCCTTCCATTCCGAAATGATCTCTGCTAGCCTGTCCCTTCCATTCCCAAATGATCTCTGCTAGCTTGCCCCTTCCATTCCCAAATGACCTCTGCTAGCCTGCACCTTCCATTCCCAAATGATCTCTGCTAGCCTGCCCCTTCCATTCCCAAATGATCTCTGCTAGCTTGCCCCTTCCATTCCCAAATGACCTCTGCTAGCCTGTCCCTTCCATTCCGAAATGATCTCTGCTAGCCTGCCCCTTTCATTCCCAAATGTTCTCTGCAGGCGTACCGGTATACCATTTGGACCAGTCACTGTTATAGGTCTCCAGATTTTCCGTCAGCACCCTGTCTTTGCCGACGATTCCCTCGAAGAACTGTAGATCTTGGCCGTTCAGCCTGGAAATTTTGGTCTCAAGGGCGTAGGAAGCACCGGAATAGTCGAGAGTGAGAGAGCGAGAGAGAGAGAGAGAGAGAGAGAGAGAGAGAGAGAGATCCCGAACCTTGCATAATCCGGATCCCGAGCGATGATCTTGGCTGCTCCTCTTCTTTGTATCCCGCTTCTGCACGCCTTCAGCATGACCTGGAACGTTTGGGTATTTGATGATTCACTTAGCTGCAATCCAAAAACCAACAACCTCACGCCCAAAAAACACCGCGGAGAAAAACTAAAACAAACAGGTGGGGGTCGCGACCGAACGCCCGGCTCGCTCTTGATCTTTTGAGCAAATTCTCGTGATGATATGTTGATTTTGGTATTCAAGTCCTGGTTTATTTAAATTAATGAGCGGAGCTCCATGCATTAATGATAATCGATCCCAGCAAGTAACAAAAAAAAATACGTTTTGAGGATTTTAAAGGGACTGGCAAAGCAAAACCTTGACGGCGATCGAGTTTCCCAAGCCAAATTTTTGCTATCCGGTTCTGGGTCGCCTAGTAAATCAGCATAGTGTTTTTAAGATTTCTGGAAAACTTCAGCTATATTTAAAGTATAAAAACTTCTAAAAAAAGCTAAAAAAAATTGGAATTTTTAAATTGTAGCCCAAAAACTGGATTTTTCGAATTAAAAAACGGTGTTAGGTAATTTTAGCGGATTTTTATGTTAAGGAATAGCTAAAAACAATGCATAAATCACACGCGGTATTCCTATTCGAAAGCCAGGCTTGAAGTCTATATAAATTTGGCAGTAAAAGAAGCCCATTGGACGATTAAAAATTTCAAAACCAAAAAGCCGTTTTCGAGGAGAAAATACGCTAAAAGGATAGCATTTCCTTGTTTACAACAAATAAACAACCTCTCCCCATCCTCCCAACCGCTATAATCTACCGAAAAGAGCGCACTGGCTTCCGTCGTCAAGAGTATCCGCACGTACTCCCACTGCGCGGATCCATGGCCGGGGCGCATGGCCCATTCCGGGGCCTATGCCTCGATTCTCTCTACCCGCATCGTGCTCTCTCGCCCCTAGTCAGAGACACATTTTGAATGGCCTTCCTCGGCACACACACCTGCACCCCCACACAACATAGTCGCGCTCAATTTGAGACCCGCTACTTGGACAGGAAAATGTCGTGCTCTCGCTCTAACTCACAGTCTTTCTCACTCTTTCTCATCTTCCGGTCCTTTCATTTTTTTTAGTTTCCAATAACTTCAAGATTTTTCCATTTTTTGCAACCTGGCAGCTAGCAAAGATGCTTTAGCAAGTTGCCACTGGTGAGTTCTCTCTCTCTCTATCTTTCTCTCTCTCGCTTTGCCTCCTGATAAAATGGTAAGGTTTTCTTATCAAAAAGCTGCCACTCGCTTCCAAAGCATTTGCAAACCTTGGCAAGCTAGCAGAGATTCTTAAGGCTTATTCTATCGCTCTCTCTCTCTCGCTCTCCCTCTCTCTCTCTCTCTCTCTCTCTCTCTCTTGCTACTACTCACTCTCCCTCTCTCCCCTCTCCCCCTCTCCCTCTATCTCTCTCTCCCGCTGTCACTCTTCGTCTTAACTGACTCAAAGGATGCTTTTTCTATTGAGCGCCACTAGTAGGTTTTTTAATTCATTTCAGGAAAATCTAGCTAGAAGAGTTTATTT